AAAAAAAAAAAAAAAGACTTGTGGATTCTAATTCTAGGTCCTACATCAGTGGAAGACTCTGAATAAATACTCTACTAGGTTTCTATTAATATTAGGATGGAGGATGGAAGAAGATGAACCCTTTACGGTAAGTTCATAAGGCATATGGTGATGGAGGCTGCACAAAAAAGAGAAAGAATAAGATGCTCAAAGTCTTCCTGAAAGAAAGAGAGTTAGAGAAGTACTTCCTTGTGATGAGGACTGTTAGTGACAATTAGTGAAAATTACATTAACACCACATAATTACAAAGGGACTACCCAAAAGTAATGGATCTATAGCCTCCAGCTTAGTAATCTACCAGAAGCATCAACAAGAAAAAGATGCGAAAAACAATCAACTTTCAACTACTGAAAGAACTTAGACACTCCACTGAGAGAAACAGTTCTAAAATGCACAAGTACAGAAAGCTTGCAATATTAGCTAAGAACCTGAAATGAAGAAACACAAAGAAACATTTTTTTCTCAATAAGGAAACAAAATCTCTTTCTCTCAGGTTCTGAAGACATTCAAGAAGGGCCATCCCAATAGGATTTGGGGCCCTCCTACTACTATCCACAAACTCTTCCAAGTTCAAAATAACTCAGAACAGGTTTACTCCAATTCCACTGGGAAAGACCATCATACCATATACAAACAGACCAAACAGGACCACTACTACCACGCAGCGCGCAATCTGGGCCAGCAGCTTTTACTCTGGGCATCACTTGACCGTTGTCCCCTGTGGAAGAGACAATGTTGTGGTTCTCCTTGCCCTGCCTGTTCTACTATAAATGATGGATTTGGGAAGTGTGAGGCCAAAAAAAAAAAAAAAAAAAAATTAAATAAATAAAGCTGGAGGAGAAGGAATATGTACCTAACTAATATTTAATCATCAAGTTGGCTAAGAAACCTATGGGGAATAAATATTATACACGAGCCTGGAATTGGTCCTTAAAAGATACCACTAAGGCTCATAAGCTCTGAACTCAAACTCTTTTGGGTCCATACACTCTCACTTTCAGGCTACCTAAAATTCTATCACCATCAGGCCTTATATTGTGAATTCTTCCAGAACTACTACAGCACCTACTCCATACAGTTTTATCCACTTTACCCCAAACTACCCATGAAGCAGTTTTTTTTCCTCCTGAAAACTTCACCCTGCCACACCAAATTCAAATAACCCTGTGTCAGGGATTCTAGTCACTTAACAAATCCACATTGAACACTCCACTGGAACATTAAGGACAGGAACCCCACTCTAAACTCAGCTCTGTTTGTTCCAAATACAGGGAAGCAATTCCATTAGCTATGCCATAAAGACCATATTGGCAATTAGGGCCCATGTGTCCCCAAAGCAGAATAAATTTCTCCTTTGGACGCAATGCAACACTATTCAGTCGTTTCGCTTGAGCATTTCACATGTCATTCCTGATGAGTGCTAGTGGGAATTGAAGGTGACAGGGTACAGCGCCAACTTTTTACAAATCAACTTCCCAAGTACCCTCAAGAGATAGTAAGAAAAGGCTCATTTTTCTCCCACAGCAAACACCAATACTACAAAGGCTATTACTTGAAGTATTCTGTCACACTGTCAAAAAAAAAAATCCATTTGATTGTGACCCCTTCTCCCCGAAAACCAGAAAAGCCATTAACGCAAAATTGTCTTACCCTCTCTCTCTCTTCCTCCTGTCGTCTTATTCTTTCTCCTTTCCAGGGCTCCTGAACTTTCTGTAAACAAATTGTCTAGGTTACAGGAAGCAGTAAGGGTGCAGTCACCAGACTGCTGTGGAGAACCCCAGGAATTCTTTGACTGTCAGCAGTCACTCTGGAAGGCACGCAGACCCCCAACCAACAATCCAAAGATGGAAGGATATAATAACAGGAATCTAGTGCCACCCTCTATGTGGATATAAGGGAAATAAATCCACTTCCCAGAAACTAAGATGAACTCTATCACCGGCCTTTGGGTTCCACTCCTAGGCTCAGACACTGGTTCTTCTTCCTTCCCAGGCCACAGGTAACCAGGGGTCAGATAATAGAAGAGTTGGAGGAGAAAGAGGGTCTCTGCCCCTGAGGAGTGGCTTCAGAAGGCAAAGCTGAGGGCTGAGGGGGATGCACAAGCCATTGTGTCAGGCACAGTGCCAGTTCAGGCCCGGCTACTTCCTCTAGCCTCCCCCCTACTTCTTGGAGGACTTCACCCCCTGCCTACCTAAGGCCTTGTGCCAAGAAGTACCTCCCTCAGCCTGCACAGTGGTCTTCTATTGGAGACCCCTGTTGTACCCCCAAAACCTTCGTTCCCCTGAGACCGCCCCTGGTAGCCTTCTCCTGATGTTGCCCCCCACTCCTTCCTCAAAGACCCTTTCTTGGGACGTCCCTCCTTCCCCTCCAGGGAGCTGAACTCTGCCACCCACCAGACAGGCACCCGCCCCCTAAACCCCCCCGATTCCTCCCCATCGCCCGCTCCTCCACAACCACTTCCGGTTCCGGGCGGACACACATACAGTCACACCGTGGACCCCCCCTCCCTGCCCCCCCTAAGGAAAAGGGGAGAGGGGAGGAGCAGGGAGCTTGGCGCGCGCCGGCTGCAGCGACGCGAGACTCACCCGGCGGCGACGGCTGCGGCGGCGCCAGAGCCGGAGCCAGAGCGCGGGAGGGGCGGCGTTTGCTGGGAAAGGAGGGAGCCGAGTGGGGTGGGAGGACCAGGAGGGGGCGAGGGAGGGGGGAGAGCGCAAGGCGGAGCGCGCGGGCACGCACTTCGGGCGCGAGACGAACCCACACGCTCACACGCACGGAATGCGCGCGCGACACCCGCAGGGCGGGGGCGCGAGGCAGTGGGTGGCCCCCTCCCTCTCCCTCCCCTAACACTCACCCGGAAGTGGTGCTGCAGCTCGTGCTCCGGAGAACCCCAATTCCTCCACGCCCCCCTCCCTCCCTCCCTCCCTCCCCCCACAGGCTCAGAGGAGAGCTCTGCGGAGAGAAGGCGGGAGCGCCGGAAACGAAAAGGGGGGAGGGAGGGAAATAGCAATGGGGGGGCGGTAATGGAGAAAGAGGGGAGCGCAAAGGCCGAGTCACTTCCGGGAGTAGCTAGAACACCTCCGGCGCTGCTAGCGCTCCAGCATATTCAGGGCAGAAGTTACGACAAGTAGGGGCGGAAGTAGCTTCTGCCCAGGGACACAGTGAAACCCTCGGTGGATGTGACGCCATAGCGGAAGTGAAGGCACGTTCTGTTAAGGGCAAAAGCTGATCTTTGAGAAGTGCGGCACCCGGCTTCCGGAAGGGACTTCTGGGGAGGAGGAGGGTGGAAACGGGACAAGTTCATGAATTATGCATCAAGGTACGAGGGGAGTTGTGGATGGTTAAAAGACCAGGGTCCCCGTTCCCTTCCCTCTGGGTGGAATAGGCTGATGTAGGAAGTTGCCATTATTTTTTCTTACAGTCTCAAGAATGTCCCAATGCTTTGAAAATGCAGGAAAGGATAAGGATGGACCTCTTCCAGCCATCAACATCCGACCCATCCTCCTTTCTGACCACACCCCTTACTCTAGCTTTGGTCTGTTGCCCTTACCCACATCTCTATCCTCTTACCCTGCTTTACTTTTAAATGTAGCACTCATCGCTACCTGATACACTGCTGTTCACCTCTTCCCACTAAAATATCGGCTCTATGAGGGCAATGACTTTGAATTGTTTGCTGCTGTATCCTCAGGTCCTGGCACTTAGTAAGCGGTCAGTAAACGTTTGTTGCATAAGTGAACTACAGTTGATTATGAACACCTAATGTGAACTCTTTCAGGAAGCCTTCCCTGATTGTTCCAACCTAAAATGATCCCTTTCTCTCAATGCCTACAGCATTTCATCTGTATCTTTTATTGCTATTTTAACTATTTCATACATGTGATTCTGCAGGAAGATTGTCAGCTCTTCAAGGAAGAAACTACACATTATTAATACTTTGCTGAATACATAGTAGATGCTGAATAAATATATATTGTTTTAGTACATGAATGCTAAATGCAATAAGCCTGCACCCTGACCTGGCCAGAATCCCTCTGAGCTCAGCTCTGTTTTAGCTAGAGCAGAATTGAGGTCCCTCCTATTAACAGTAATAGCTTCTTGCTGAAAAAGCAAAATAACCCTAACAAATAATTATAATGCCCATTTTATAGATAATGAAAATAAGACGCAGCAGATCTAAGTGATTTTTTTCCCCAAGGTTCCAGCAAGGAAGTGACAAAGGACACTTTTAAACATTTAAATATTTACATTTAAATATAATGTTTAAATAGAAGATGTATATCTTTGTTTGTAATTGTAGTTTGTATCTTTTCAAAAGTGTCTTTTCAAGAGATACCCTTTATCACACTGTTGGACTCCCCACTCAGTCTGTGTTGACTGAGTAGCAAGAGTTGGCAGGATAAGGGTCTTAAGGGCTCAGATGTGACCAGACCTATTGCTGCATGGGTTAGAGATTACTGATTCCAGAAACCTTGAGTTTGGGGGCTGGTATGGAAAAGTGCGAGCCAAAGAGTAGCAATCACTCTAAGTCCTAGTTCTCCTCCTATTCTTTCCTATTTACACTAAATATCCACTTCCCAGGCCTCAGTGTCTCCAACTGACAGCCCTGTTGCTGCCCTTGCCCTAAGAAGCAAGTTTTAAGTGCTTTGAACTCTTTAGAGAAAAGCTTTTAGAGCAATAAATGTGGGGCGTAGGGGGAGGAGGGCTGTTAATTTTAGCTTGGGGTTCTCCAGCTGGCACACTGTTTCCATCTTGAATCACTTCTACACCCTGAGCTCTGCCTGGGAGATCCCTCCTCCTGGGGGCTTCCCCATTCCCTGGTTTGGTTTGAGCCACAATGGTAAACATTCCAGAAAAACGCTAAGAGAAGCCTAGCTGAGTCATTTGATGCTCAGCCCAGGAGGCAAAGAAAGCATGATGATGAGAGACGCTGGTTCCAGTGGTGGCTGTGATGTGTGGCCTTGAAGAACCTTCCAATTCCCAAAAGGGCAGTATGGCTATTGTTTTGTTCTTGGTTAGTGACTCTGCTGCTGTAGCCTTCTGGGGACCTCCCAAGGCCCCATGGTCTTTGTTTCAACTACAGGAGAGAGAAAAGTTAGGGTCTGTTCCCCAAGGCCTCATGACTCTTCATGGTTAGCCTGACATCATGGTTTAGTTTAGGATCATTCCTTTAGGACAATTCAGAAGTCTAGGACAGTCTCCTTTCTCCTCCTTCTGTCGCTGCCATCGGACTTGTCATGGGGGGAAGGAGGGCATTTAGGGAGAGGGAACGGGTGAGGATTTCCAGTGTGTTGCTGGTGTATTTTAATTTATTTAAATTTAGAGAAACAGCAATCTAATCAGGCAATAATTAATTCCCTCTTCATTAGGGGCCTTCATGTGTGCCTTTTGCATATGGATGAGTCACAGGTCACGCTGTCCCTCTGAAGAGAGATCCTTGCTGAAGGTGAGGGCCCAGTGTGCTCCCCAGCACTAAGTTCCTGCCCTTTCTGTGCCAGAGCATCTCTTTCTCCCCACCCTCACCTCACAAGGACTAGAGTGCTGCGGGGAAAGAAAGGAAAGGTTAATGAAGCTTCCTCTCCCTCCCTCCTCGTTGCCCCCAGTGCATCCATCAGCCCCTCCTCCTGTACCCTCCAGCCCCCTCTCCCATCAGCTGGTCAGCTGCCTGCCGGGATCTCTTCATGCCCCAGTGGGTTGACTCCTCAGAGTTCCCCTCGCATCTCTGCTTTAAGTTGCTTCATCAATCCTTGGCCCCGCTCTGCTGCTCTCCTCTGTAGCAGTCTGTCCTTTTCTTAGGGAGTCTGACACCCTGAACGCACACACTGCTGCCTGAGAAATATGCTGCCTCCTCCTGACACTCACCATTATGTGCTGCGCGGACTCTGCCCCGCTTCCCTCAGCTCACAGCAAAGCTCCCCAACACCTAACATACACACCAACTGAAACATAGATGTTCCCAGTCCTCGCTGCAAAGGTAAACACGTGGAGGCATGTACAGTCCAGAGCAGCCCAGGCCGCCCTCTTGCATACTATGCCAGCCTCCGATCCTCCCTGAGGGCTACCCCATTTCCAGGGAGCAAGTGGGGCACAGATTGAGGTGGGGGAGATGGGACCTGGCTGGTTACTGTGGCAACAGAGCCTAGCAACAGCAGAGACGCTGATGTGTGGGCTTTCACAGGGCTGTCACAGGAACCAAACCTAGAACTGGGGACTCAGAGGTGACTGATCCCAGCTGGGCAGCCTGCATTCCCTCCCCTAAACACACCCCTGGATTCCACCCCCACAGCCCTGCAGTGCCTCTCTCAGAGAGGGCAGACTGGGGAAAGCTAATGAGTTAACCACAGGGCTTCTAGTGCTGCACAGCTTTTGGGGGGCAGCTGTAGGTGGGGGCAGGTTAGGGAGCAAGGATGAAAATAAACCAAGCAGGGCAGCCTTTTTCCTGGGGCTACCTCTCGTCTTTTTTCCATTGCTCCATTTTTCTCATTCCTTTCTCCCTTCACCCTCCATCTACCTTATCAGCTCTCTCTTTTTCCTTTTCCTGTTTGCTCCATTGCCTGTCCTTCTACATGATTTTCCCTTTTCTTCTCCTTTGTCACTGTCTCTCCTTACCCTCCCTGGCAAGGGACAAGTGAGCCCTGGTTCCAGTTCCAGTCTCTCTCTTGCACCGGCTGCTCCCTTCAGTTTCTCTTCCTCTTCCCACCCTTCCATTTTGTACCAAGTCAAAGCCCTGGTCGGTCCCCAGCTCCAGGTCAGGGCGGGCCAGGTGACATCTGGTCTGGAGAGCTTCCCCACTTCATCCTTCTTTTCCTCCCTGCTGGCTGCCCATCCCTCTCCCCCTCTCCTGTCTACAGGGGTCACAAGGCAGAACCAGGGACTCAAGTATCTTGCAAAGGCTTTATTTGAAAATTTTGAAACTTACATCCCACAAGAATTCAAGATTATCACCACAAGAAGAAGAAAGAGATAATACAAAAATATATATCACAGCATAGGAGCCAGGTAAGAGGGGAAGAAGGAAGGTGGAGAAATTGGTAAGAAGTAGGGAAGAACCTGAGGAGCAGGAGAGGGCAGGAGGCAAAAAGGAGGGAGAGGAGAGGAGGGAGGGAGGCAGGGAGGGACATGAGGGAGCCCGGGAAGGGAAGGGGTAGATTTGGAGGCAGAGCTCCCAATGGCCTTGAACCAGCTGGCTCCAGTCCCTGGCAGCCTAGGTGGAGTTAGGGAGGCCTTAAGGGAGGCTTGGAAGTGGAGGACTCAGGGGCTCTGAATGCCAGAGAGTGACACACACAGACAGTAGGACAGACAAAACAAAGGGGACTTAGGAGGAAGGGAAGGACAAGTGGGAGTCCCTTTCTCATTTAGTGCAGCAGGCGACTCCCCAAAACCCATCTCTCAGACAACAGGATTAAGCAGTGGGGTTGGGGAGAAGTTTGGGGCCTCACTATCCCCGTTCCCCTGGGGGAGCCCTCAGGGTGATGCCAGCGCCCTTGGAGT